GTTGATATGGAGGGGTTTGGTTTGTACATGGTTGATATGGAGGGGGTTGAACTGGAGGGGGTTGGGGATTGTACGGGGGTGGATGTTGGGGTAGCCTAACTCTGGGTTCGCTTAGGTAAAGACCGTCGGCAAAATTACTCCCATTGTTGAGGTGAAAGGTAAGTCCTTCAATGGCTTGTTGAAGGTTCTGAAGAGATGCCTCCAACGTGCCAAATCTTCCATCCATAGAATCCATCCTCACAGAAAGATCCTGTAGAGAAAGTTCCTTCTTGCCGTCACCTGCCATTGTCGAGGATGTTGAAGCTGAAGCTTTGATACCACTTGACGCAGACGTAGAAATGGGGAGGCCAATCGGATATCGTTCTGATACCAACGAGGACAACAACAAGTAATTCACGAGCTTGAATCCACAAGCTCTAAGTTTTTCAAAGTTGAGAACGTAAACAAGGAGAAAAATTCTCTTGATTGAATAATTGAAAAGTCAATTACTTGATTTACAAAAGGAACTATTATTTATAGCTAACTAAACCTATCATAACTCTAATAAAAAAAAAAGCCCGAATCTAAAAAGAAGTAACCAAAAAAGAAACACTTTCCTAATCTAAAAGGAAATAACCAAAAGAACTCTTTCCTAATCTAAAAGGAAATAACCAAAAGAACACTTTCCTAATCAAAAAGAAAATAACCAAAAGAACTCTTTTCTAATCAAAAAGAAAATAACCAAAAGGACTCTTTCCTAATCTGAAGTCCGAATCGACATGGGTGCTTTTCTTCTTGTCTCATCCAATGCTTGATCTCCTGTATCACTAGGCCATGTAGAATTCCACTATTGTGATAATGATTTTCCAAGAATAGTAGTTTTCAAAAAATAGTGGTTTTTAAGGCTATAGTAGTTTTATCTCATAACCTAATCTTGTTTATTGAATTTAGGGCATGTTTGTTTGTACGAAAATAGCTATAAAGTAGATGAAGTATAGGCTATTTTTGTTACTTTCATATAAAAAATGTTGTTTATTTCTCTGTAAAAACTATTTTCGTTACTTCCTTAAAAGCTGATGTGTCATCTAGCTGGCATCTCTATTTCCATAAAAATTTTCCGACTTCAAATGGTGTGAAATATGGCTGAAGTAGTTTTTAGGGTGGGGTCCACGGAAAAATGATTCTCAAAATATTTTCAACTCCAAATTCCTCTCCTATCCTCACAACTGGTTCTTCCTCTCAACCTAACCGTCCAGTTTATATTCAACCGACTCTTCCCCAAATTATTTATATCCTCACAACTGCCCCGCGTGAAAGGGTTCCTCAAGCTCGTGACAATTCTACTCCCCGCCGACTTCCCGACAAAAAGCGTCCTTCCTTCTTCATCTTTCTTCCTCTTGGCTTCACCAAAAAGGTATGTAAATGTTAAAATTTTGATCTTTTATTGTAATTAAATTCATTTAACATTTCTATATTACTTGTAGAAATCTTTCATAAAGCTTGATCTTTCAGTTATGGTTCCTTTTGAGATATAATAGTCAAAAAAATGAGGTTTTTTTGGTTCATGTAGAAATAAATCAGTAGTCTCTCGCTTCTCTGTCTCTATGACCCATATTTCAAAAGGTGTGTGTTTTTATTTCACCAAAGAAAATTTTTTTTCATCTTTTGCACAAAAGAAGAGATCTTGGTGGATGTATTTATTCGTTTGTTGGTTTTCTTTAGTTTCCACAAGCGATTTTATGTGATACTATTCTCCTTTTTTTCCCCTCATTTTTTCCTAAAAAAATAGATTTTTGGTTTAATTTTACGTAGTTTGTTGATTTTTATTTATTTTTTGTGGTGAAAGGCCTAAATCTTGACTTGGGCTTGTAATTGGATTGATGTCTCTTATAAGCTGTGATAACTATTCATTTTTAACACAAGGAAGTTTTTATGACTCATGCACGTGAGGAACCATATACTAGTGGATGTTGGGGTAGCCTAACTCTGGGTTCGCTTAGGTAAAGACCGTCGGCAAAATTACTCCCATTGTTGAGGTGAAAGGTAAGTCCTTCAATGGCTTGTTGAAGGTTCTGAAGAGATGCCTCCAACGTGCCAAATCTTCCATCCATAGAATCCATCCTCACAGAAAGATCCTGTAGAGAAAGTTCCTTCTTGCCGTCACCTGCCATTGTCGAGGATGTTGAAGCCGAAGCTTTGATACCACTTGACGCAGACGTAGAAACGGGGAGGCCAATCGGATATCGTTCCGATGTCGACGAGCCCTGACAACAACAAGTAATTCACGAGCTTGAATCCACAAGCTCTAAGTTTTTCAAAGTTGAGAACGTAAACAAGGAGAAAAATTCTCTTGATTGAATAATTGAAAAGTCAATTACTTGATTTACAAAAGGAACTATTATTTATAGCTAACTAAACCTATCATAACTCTAATAAAAAAAAAAGCCCGAATCTAAAAAGAAGTAACCAAAAAAGAAACACTTTCCTAATCTAAAAGGAAATAACCAAAAGAACTCTTTCCTAATCTAAAAGGAAATAACCAAAAGAACACTTTCCTAATCAAAAAGAAAATAACCAAAAGAACTCTTTTCTAATCAAAAAGAAAATAACCAAAAGGACTCTTTCCTAATCTGAAGTCCGAATCGACATGGGTGCTTTTCTTCTTGTCTCATCCAATGCTTGATCTCCTGTATCACTAGGCCATGTAGAATTCCACTATTGTGATAATGATTTTCCAAGAATAGTAGTTTTCAAAAAATAGTGGTTTTTAAGGCTATAGTAGTTTTATCTCATAACCTAATCTTGTTTATTGAATTTAGGGCATGTTTGTTTGTACGAAAATAGCTATAAAGTAGATGAAGTATAGGCTATTTTTGTTACTTTCATATAAAAAATGTTGTTTATTTCTCTGTAAAAACTATTTTCGTTACTTCCTTAAAAGCTGATGTGTCATCTAGCTGGCATCTCTATTTCCATAAAAATTTTCCGACTTCAAATGGTGTGAAATATGGCTGAAGTAGTTTTTAGGGTGGGGTCCACGGAAAAATGATTCTCAAAATATTTTCAACTCCAAATTCCTCTCCTATCCTCACAACTGGTTCTTCCTCTCAACCTAACCGTCCAGTTTATATTCAACCGACTCTTCCCCAAATTATTTATATCCTCACAACTGCCCCGCGTGAAAGGGTTCCTCAAGCTCGTGACAATTCTACTCCCCGCCGACTTCCCGACAAAAAGCGTCCTTCCTTCTTCATCTTTCTTCCTCTTGGCTTCACCAAAAAGGTATGTAAAGGTTAAAATTTTGATCTTTTATTGTAATTAAATTCATTTAACATTTCTATATTACTTGTAGAAATCTTTCATAAAGCTTGATCTTTCAGTTATGGTTCCTTTTGAGATATAATAGTCAAAAAAATGAGGTTTTTTTGGTTCATGTAGAAATAAATCAGTAGTCTCTCGCTTCTCTGTCTCTATGACCCATATTTCAAAAGGTGTGTGTTTTTATTTCACCAAAGAAAATTTTTTTTCATCTTTTGCACAAAAGAAGAGATCTTGGTGGATGTATTTATTCGTTTGTTGGTTTTCTTTAGTTTCCACAAGCGATTTTATGTGATACTATTCTCCTTTTTTTCCCCTCATTTTTTCCTAAAAAAATAGATTTTTGGTTTAATTTTACGTAGTTTGTTGATTTTTATTTATTTTTTGTGGTGAAAGGCCTAAATCTTGACTTGGGCTTGTAATTGGATTGATGTCTCTTATAAGCTGTGATAACTATTCATTTTTAACACAAGGAAGTTTTTATGACTCATGCACGTGAGGAACCATATACTAGCTTAGTATGTTTTCATGAGGAGGACTTGGTGGGAGTAGTTAAGTAACTGAACATACACTTCAGTGAATGCAACATGCAATTATTGATGAAAACAAAGCATCATGTACCTGCAAAATTAATATAAGTTTAAAAAATACAGACAAAGGAATAGGCTTATTCGGATGAAAACAAAGCATCATGTACCTTGCAATCATGCTTATGAAATTAATTCATAAAAATAGGCTTATTCGGATGAAAACAAAGCATCATGTACCTTGCAATCATGCTTATGAAATTAATTCATAAATACAGACAAAGAAATAGGATGGAAACAAATCATGTACCTTGCAATCATGCTTATGAAATTAATTCATAAATACAGACAAAGAAATAGGATGGAAACAACATGAGGAAGCTCGAGAACAAAGTATGCAACTAATTAGTAATCAAAATAATAGAATATAAATCATATGTTTAGTGGAACTATCCAGCATGTTTAGTGTTCCAATGACATTTGTCTTTATGGTCTGTTAAACATCACATTTTAGAGCATAATTTTTCAGAATTAATTTATCACCACTCACCCACAGATGCATGTTGATTGGAAAGATAATTTATAGGTAGCATGAGAAAATAGATTTTAGAGACAACAACGCTACTAGGATGTGAGAATCATATTATTTTTTGTCGATGTGAGAAATAAATTAGCGAATTTTTATAATAACCATGTGTGCTGATTTTTTTAATTTTATAACATTGTTTTATTTGTTTTATGTAGAATATGGAACCTTCAAAAGCTAGAGATGCTACACTAAGTTGCTTTGTTGCATATGTGGCGTGTATAGTGTGTGCTTACTTTATGTTGTTTAAGAATAAAAGAGAAGTAACTCCTAGGGAACCAACCGAGTTGAGAGATTCATTAAGAAATGCTTATATCTACCGATTGTTCTATGGCGGTAGAACATTTGCATATGACTACTTAAGAATGAATAGAGGGCCATTTTTTTACCTTGTTCGTATGTTACGAAAGTCTAGACTTCTTAAAATACCATATATGTTTCCATCGAGGAGCAAGTTGTTATGTTTTTACACATAGTAGGACATAATGCAAAAATAGGGTTGTCGGTATAAACTTCGTACGTTCAGGCGAAACTATTAGTAGGTACTTTAATGCAGTCCTCGTGGCAATATTAAACTGAGGCCATTACTAATGAAGCAAGCGAGTGGTGAGGTATCCGATGAGATTCGTTGTAGATCAACTTGGTACCCTTGGTTTGAGGTAAAGTGGATTATTTTTCAATCATTTATATCTATACTTCTTAAGGTAATATGTAATATAAAATGGTGAATTTATATGTTATGTATGTTTAAATGGTCAGAACTATATTTATATGATTGATGGAACACACATTGTTGCGTTTGTCCCTGATAATATAGTTGCTCGATTTCATGGTCGTAAAGATGGTCCTACACAAAATGTGCTTGCAGTTGTTACACCTAATAAGCTATTTGGTTATGTCATAGCTGGATGGGAAGGGCCCGCTAATGACTTTACAGTTTTGAGGGATGCATTGTCTATGCCTCCTCCAAAGGGATTGTGTTTGATAAAAGGTAATAAAATGTGAACTAAAATTATAAACTATTTTATTAGTTTAAAAAAATTTGTTAATAATTTGGTTTCATGTTAATATTATAGATAAATATTATCTCTACGATACTGGATATACGACAATGCCTGGTTTTATTGCACCTTATTGTGGCGTGCGCTACCATATTAAAGAGCAAGACGATAGAGAACCATTAAACCATCACGAGCTTTTTAATCTTTGTCACTTATCACTTCGATCAAAGATAGAGAGCACATTTGGAATTTTGAAAAATCGTTTCAAAATTCTAACATGTAGGCCTGATTTTCTATTTCAAACACAGGTCAAGATTGTTATTGCATGTTGCATTCTACATAATTATATAATGATATTGGATCCATATAATCATTACATAACAGAAGATGTAGTTTTTGATGAAAGTGAGAGTGAATTTGTTATTGAAGAATCTGAGGTTAGCATGCTCAATTTAAGCAAAAGGGAACAGAAATAAGCACAAGCTACTTGGTTAAAGAAAAGAGATGAAATAACAAAGTCTATATGGATAGAATATTGCGCTCGATATAAGGAAGGTAATGAGGTAGAAATTGGATTAGGTGATTAGTATTTGTGTTTTGTATTGTTTTAATTGATACCACTAATATATGCTAGATCATTAAGTGAACAAGTTTGTTTTTTTCCTTATTATCAAGCTTACTGGAAACCAAATAATATATGCTAGATCATTAAGTGAACAAGTTTGTTTTTTTCCTTATTATCAAGCTTACTGGAAACCAAATTTTGTGTATCTTTGATATTTCTTTACAAGTTTGTTTTTTTCCTTATTATCAAGCTTACTGGAAACCAAATTTTGTGTATCTTTGATATTTCTTTATTGACGTTCTTTTTTTATGATGAGCTTCAATATATGTGCGTCTAATTTTATAGTTTTACTTTCTAATTGTCATAATGTAAACTTTATTCATGTTATCGCTATGAATATTTACAATATCACAGGACGATGGAGAATATAGAAAAGTGTGCATATGGGGGTAACATTACTGGATACTTTCAAGTCACTTCAATACTAGATCAACAATCGCCACATTACTCTCATTCTCAAGGGGTACACACTCTTGGAAACCCCTATGTTTTTGGTCATATTGGAGATTCACCTAATCAACAATTCATGAATGTCAATGTTGGTGGAACTCCTATTGGGTTCCCACCCATAAATTTGAGCCAACAAATCATACAATCACAAAGCTCCCAAAATAATGCTTCACAAAATTCAATTTCAAGTCTTGAGGTTAATTCTCCTTCAAAAGATGGCAAACATATGAATGAAGGGAAGAAACGAAAGTCAACCGGGAACAAAAAAAACTCTGACAGGAGGGAGAAAAAAAAGGAACTAGTAACAAAAAATGGAAATCTCCACATATTGAGGCATTAATTTCTTGCTTGGTGGAACTTGCAAATAATGGTCAGAACTCTGACAGGAATTCTATCTTTGGAGAAAATTATACTACATACAATGTCGAGAACCACTTACGAACCCTCAAAGATAAGTGGAAACTTATTTGTGAAGCAAAAAAACTTAGTGGAGCCAGATTATTTGAAGAGAGTAAGATGATTACACTTGATACCACGACATATGCTGAGCTTATCGAGGTATATTAATTTCTTAATTTTGTCCACCAAGTTAATTCAAACTTTTCTTTTTGATATATCACATTAAAAATCTCTATTTTCCTTATATACAGAGACATCCAAAATACAAGCCTTATTTGAATTGTCCAATTCCAAGATATGAGGAGCTTCACATTATTTGTGAGGAGGATCATGCTACTGGAGAATTCAGAGAAACAAGTTATGACCCTGACATTGATAAAGAGATTCCAACTATCAATATCGATGAAGATGATCTTGTAGATAGTCCTGGTATTGACGGAGTTCGTGTATCACAATTCAACGGAGTGGACCCTTCGAGCATTTCTGTCAAGCCAGGAGCTGTAAGTGGTAAATCGTCTCGTCCAGTAAAGAAGAAGAAAAGAGAAGACTCCCATATAATTATTGGTGAGAAACTTGTGGAGGAAATGGGAAAGGTAGCCACTGCCATTGTTAGTTTGAAGGAGCGAACTTGAGTTGATGTTCTGGCTAATAAGGTTTTTGGTTTTCAAGATATTTACATAGAAAATTTTGAATTGGTTTTCGATGAATATTACAAGAATGAAGTTGAAGCCAAGGCTTTTATGGTATTGCCAAAACCAATACAGAGAAAGAGCATTCTTAACGTGTTGGAGAGGATAGGTAGGCGACCAACTTTGGACAATACTCAGAGAGGAACTACTAGTTCCAGAAACATGGATAGCACCCCTTAATAAATGGTTCTCAATTTAAGCTATTTTTCTAGTATGGATAGTCTTCTTAGAGATTGCACTTTATGAACTTCAGGGTATTTATAGCCTGTACGTGTGATTTCTTGGGTGGGCCAAAGTGGGCTTGCCATCCTGTAGCTTGTGCATGTAAACACATGGGTCATATGGGCTCCTTGTGTACCCTTGGCCAATCATAAAGCCGTCGAATCTCTTGTACCATTATCACGACGATTGCTTCAATCCGTAAAGAGACTTCTTTAACTTGCACACCAATTCTTCCTTTCCTACAGCTTTGAACCCCATAGGTTGTGTCATGTAGATCTCCTTTTCTAAATCTTCATGTAGAAAGGCTGTCTTCACATCCATCTGGACCAAATCTAAATCTAGTTGTACCACCAATGCCAATAGAATCCTAATCGACGAATGCTTTACAACAGGTGAGAATACCTTATTGTAATCAATGCCCTCAAGCTGTGCATAACCCTTGGCAACCAATCTGGCTTTGTATCGAATGTCCCTAATAGAAGATCCATCTTTCTTTGTATACACCCACTTGCATCCAATAGCCTTCTTACCATTCAGTAGCTTTGCAAGTTCCTAAGTGTCGTTCTTCTGAAGAGAGCGCATCTCCTCCTCCATAGCTTTCCTCCACCTGATCGAATCAGAGCTAGATTCTGCCTCCTTAAATGTAAAAGGAATCAAATCATCAACGACCTCTGCTGATAAGGCATATGCAACCATGATATCATTATATCTAGCTGACCGATGAATCACTCTTCTGGGTATGTTTGCTGCAATGGACTCCTGACCATGACCCTGCTCTTGAGTCTCACTATCCATTATATCCTCTAAATGCCCGGCTGTCATCCCATCTCCTTCTAGTGTCACCTCTGTAAAAACCTCAATGGATACAATGCTATATGGAGTGTGTGGAGTCACATCATCCTCCATCTGCTGTGATATCCCTCTTGTCTGGTCTCCCTCCACCTACTGAGGCACTTGAGGCATCATCATGTACGCCTCGTCGAATGTAACATCTCTGCTAATAACTATCTTCTTGTCCTGTGGATCCCACAATTTTAAGCCTTTTACTCCTTCTCTAAAGCCCACAAAGACTGCTTTATTTACGCTCAGATTCAATTTACCATCACTGACATGATAATAAGCTGGACACCCAAATATCTAAAGTGACTCATAGTCACTAGCCACCGAACCAGACCAACGCTCCATAGGAATCTTCCCTTGTATCACAGTGTACGGTAACTTATTCACGAGATGGCTCGCATAAACCAACGACTCAGTCCAAAAGGATCTTGACAATCCACTCTGTGTCATCATACATCGCACCTTCTTCAGCAATGTACGATTTAACCTTTCAGCCACCCCATTCTGTTGTGGTGTCTCACGAACTGTGAAGTGTCGCCTAATGTCGTGATCCTAGAAAAACTATAGAAACGGATTACTCTTATACTCTCCTCCATTGTTCGAACAAAGAGTCTTCACTTTTCTATCTGTCTGTAGCTCCACTTTCTTCTTCCACTCCACAAAAATATCCAGGACCTCATGTTTATGCTTCATAAGGTATACCCGATTTCTCCTGAAATAATCGTCAATGAAAGTGACAAAATAGTTAGCCCCACCAAGTGATGTGTGCTTGGAAGGGCCCCAAATATCTGTATGAATGTAGTCCAATATATCTTAGGTATTTTGAATAGCGGTGCCAAACTTTACTCTCGTCTTCTTTCTAAGTACACAATGCTCACACAGCTCTATCTTGTAGGTCTTCGCACCTTTCAATAGTTCATGTTTCGCCAATGCCTGTAGAGACTTATCACCAGTGTGTCCTAAACGCATGTGCCATAAATTGATAGTGTCCTCCTTTGTAGTGATAGAAGCTGCTAACTGTCTTGCCCTTCAAGTAGTATAAGGTGTTTTTTCCTAACACCTCGCATCATCACCATGGACCCCTTCTTGACCTTCAGAGTTGCATTCTCCAAGATCACCCGATAGCCATCTACCTCCAAAGTTCTAAGTGAAATAATATTCTTCGTTAACTGCAGCACGAACCTTACTTCCTTCAGCTCCTGAGTCACCTCGTCACACATACGAATCCGAACTATACCAATATCACAAAGAGGGCATACATGATCATTACCTATAAGCACGACATCTCCTCTTTCCAACTCTTCAAAGCTGGAAAACCAATCCCTCCTAGGGTAAATATGGTATGTAGCACTAAAATACATCATCCACTCTGTAGAGTCAGTGTAACAAACTGATGGTAATGCAGAGCATGAAAAGCCCGAAGAATCCGTATCTGAATTGTAGTCACTAGCCTTGATAACATTCACTTTCGAAGCTTGTACAGCTTTCTTTTTATTCTTCTCGGTTTTATCTTTTAACTTTGGGCACTCGTTCTTTCAATATCCTTCTTATTTACAAAAACGACATTGGTTCCTACCAACACTCTTATGGCTATCTCTATTCCTCAATTTTGAGCGGTGGGACTGCTAACGGTTTGGAGTACGACCTCGAACTGCTAATGCATCTCCCGATGCTTTCTCGGAGGGTTCGCTATCACTTTTTTTTAATTCATAATTTACCAAAGCTAAGGTCACCTCCTTATAACTAATAGTAGTTCTACCATTGATCATAGTTAGGACAAAAGTACCATAATCATCCTCCGGTGCGAACACAAAAGTAGCATCGTCTTATCTTCATTCTCAACTATGATATCCACATTGGACATATCTGAAAGCAACTTCGTAAAGTTATTTACATGCTCCCTAATGGAAACTTCACTCTTCATCTTGAACTGGTAAAACCTCTTCTTCAAGTAAAGCTGATTCTCAATGCTTTTAGTAAGATACTTTTCATTGAACGTTTTTCATAATTTCTTCGCCGACATCTCTTTCATAACATCATAAATAAGATCCGGTATCAAGCATGACCGAATAACTCCACAAGCCCTACTGTTCATCTTTTTCTAAACATTGTCCTCCATATCTTCGGGTTTCTCTTGTAACTCAAGAGTCTCCTCCAAATTTTGTGCATTCAATGCATCCATCACCTGACACCTCCACAAATCAAAATTGGTCCATGTTATAGATCTAACTTTTCAAATAAGAATTCTTCA